GAAAAGCTCTGGGGACATCTGGTGAGGTGTGTAAAAGCTTTACAGATGCAGAGAGCTCTGTCACCTGGGGAATAGTGTGGAACAGTTTGGGTTCTGGAGGCTGGGGTCAGCAGAGAGCTCTTGTGAGACAAGGGGCATGTGGTCTGTCCCTCTCCTGTGAGGTTTCCCCTCACCAGTGTCAAGGGAAGCACTTTGTTTCCTCCTGCTGGCAGGATGAAATCAGACACATGTAGCCAGGTCAGAGCAGCAGGTTTGTTAACCTGCCTCACTGTGTCCTCAGGTGCAGGCTGCTGCACAGGGACCCCTGTCCCCACCCAGCCAGAGTTTGCTGCATTTTTCCTCCTGTGTGAACAGCCTGTCTCTACTCTGCTCGTTCCCCTCCCACCTCTCACTAAGGCCCCTACACTAAAACCCTTCAGACATGAAGCAGTGACCAAGTCTGGGACTAGAAGTGGATCCAGCAGCACTCAGACTGCTCTGAGAAGGACTTTAAAGAGCAAGGGGTTCCTCTCTAACCTTGTCACTCAACAGAAGGGCCTTCCTCATGCTCTCCCTGATCCCTGTGCAGATCAGTCAGCCTGTCTCTCACTCAGTCTCCCCTATCCCTGTATCAATCACTTCCCCTGATCCCAGTCTAGGTCACTCCAATCTCATTCCAACCCCTGCACATCCTTCCAACAGTCACTGACAGAACTTTGCCATTGAACTGGTCAGTTGCCCTTTCATTCATTTGTATTAAAATCCCCTTTTCCTGATGTTTTGCCATTCATTCTTTCAGCAGCCTTAGGACCTTCCACTCCTGTCTGTGTCACAGCCCCAGGCCTGATGACTGTTTATACCCTTTAGTGATTCAGGACTGGGGTCAGTGGCCCTGGTAAACCAAGATCTCTCCTTCTCACATCTTTTCAGGGGGGCTCCAGACACCCTCTTCCACATCTGTGCTGTCCAGTGGCTTCTCCCACTGCTGTGCTACGAGTGCAGCCCCAGGCTGGTGCCAGCCTGCAGTGTCCTGCTGGGCCTCACATTTGTTACTTGCTTCATTTTTTTTAACCTTGGGCCTAGTCTGGCTCTCTGTGCATATGAGGTGTCCCTGCCCATGCAGGGGGTTGGAGCTAGATGATCTTTAAGGTCCCTTCCAACCCAAACCCATCTGTGATCCTCTGGTACCTGGATGCTGATGAGTGGCAGCCTGTCAGCACTGTCAGCACTGTACCAGGTCTCATCTAGCAGCCTGTGCATTCGGGGGTGGGTTTGATCCCTCTGGGAAGGGCAGTAGAACACACAGAGCTTCACTCTTTGGCCTTTGCCCCTGGCAGGTTGTGAATCCACACTTGTTGAAAGATCTCACGGAGCGGGGCCTGTGGAATGAGGAGATGAAGAACCAGATCATTGCCCACAATGGTTCTATCCAGGTAGGGGTGAAACACCAGGGAGGAGGGCACAGGAAGTACAGGCAGGGGGGTTGATGTGTCACACGGGGCTAGTGAGCTGTGCTGGCTGGGAGTGACTGCTGGTCTGGGGAGAATCTGTTCAGAGAAGGGCAGAGGAGCTGGGGAAGGGGCTGGAGCAGGAGGAGAAGGGGCTGGAGAACTTGTGAGGAGCAGCTGAGGGAGCTGGGGGTGTCCAGCCTGGAGCAAAGGAGGCTGAGGGGAGACCTGCTGGCTCTGCAGCTGCTGAGAGGAGGTTGGAGCCAGGGGGGTCGGGCTCTGCTCCCCAGGAACAAGCGACAGGACAAGAGGGAACGGCCTCAAGTTGTGCCAGGGGAGGTTGAGGTTGGATCTGGGGAACAATTCCTGCCTGGCAAGGGTTGTCAGGGCCTGGCCCAGGCTGCCCAGGGCAGGGGGGGAGTCCCCATCCCTGGAGGGGTTTCCAAGCCCTGGAGATGGTGCTGAGGGACACGGGGCAGGGGTGGCCTGGGCAGGGCTGGGCTGGGGGAGCAGTGAGGCTGGATGATCTTCATGTTCTTTTCCAACCAGAACAATTCCATGTTTCTATGATAAGTGGCATTTTTGGCATTTCCATTAAAAATGTAAGGGGATGTGTCTGATCTCAGGGGTGACTGGTTCCTGCTGGAGCCTGCTGTGGAGAAGGCCAATGGAAATGGACTGCTGGACAGCTGATTATTGCTGAGCAAATACTGAGTCAGGCTGTGCTGCTTTAGGCATGTTCTGCAGATGTTTGGATTCCTGTTACCATAAAAATCATAAAGGGGTAATTTCATAGCAGGGAGTAGGCTTGAGACAGGAGTAAACAGCATTCTGATCCAGGAGTTGCATGTAGCAGAGTCTGTGGGATGAATCCTTTCTGCTGTGGAGGTGGAAGTGCTGCTGTGACTGTTGGGCTTGGAGTCATGCAGACCAAGAAAGGGCATCCCACTTGTGGTGGATTTTGGGGTGGGTGCCAGCTCCTGGAGTGCTTTTTGTAGGACTTTCCAGCCCTTCAGGACAAAACAGCCTTGGCCTGTTTGCAAACAGCTTTTTCTCTCAAATTCCCCAGGACAAGCTGGGGTTTCTGGATGCTTGGGAGCTGTCAGGTGCAGGGTTGCTTGGATTCAGTGCCAAGGTTCAGCTGCAAAAAGCCCTCCTCCTGGTCAGGGTTGCTGCAGTCTCTGCAGGTGGTGCAGATTTTGATGTTTAATGCAAACACTTGGGCAGCCCCTGGTGACACTGCCTTGGAAACCTCTTCCCATTCCTTTTAGAACATATCTGAGATTCCCGAGGACTTGAAGCAGCTGTATAAGACAGTGTGGGAGATCTCCCAGAAAACCATCCTGAAGATGGCAGCAGACAGAGGAGCTTTCATCGACCAGAGCCAGTCTCTCAACATCCACATTGCAGAGCCCAACTACGGGAAGCTCACCAGCATGCACTTCTATGGCTGGAAGCAGGTACCTGGGGGCTTGTCCAGGCCAGATAGTGACTGGGGGCTGAGAAGTTCCTTCATGGTCTGACTGGTTCTCAGAAGGGGAAGTGGTCTCTTCCTCCCAAGAATCCATTCTCTTGCTAGTGGAACATCTCTCCTGAGCCATAAAGCAGTGGATGCTTGTGGTGCTGCTCCTGTTAATCCTGAATGCTGGGGATCACTGGAAGGCTGGGGCAGGGGGCTGGGTGAGGAGAGGTGGGCATCAGCAGTGTGGGGCTGGGCTCTGAGGCTTGTCTGGCCTCCTGCTATTTCCAGCTCTTGGACTTTTGCTGCTCTAGAAGGACATGGAGCTGTTGGAGAGGGGCCAGAGGAGGCCCCGGAGATGCTGGGAGGGCTGGAGCAGCTCTGGAGCCAGGCTGGGAGAGTTGGGGTGTTCAGCCTGGAGAAGAGAAG